CACATATCTCACACATAGTTATGAGAAGCGTTAAACATGGAGGCGCGTGCAGTTGTCGTACTGTATTAAAGCTTTAATCAGGATAAAACTTTATATTAAAAGCTAACATAAGCATTAGCATTTATGTTAGCAACAAATAACAGGCAGCGTATCTAAAAGTATGCGACAACTACAAATAAAAAACATACCATTAAGAGCCGTGCTTGCACAGGTTCTGCACGATCCTCTTCAATAATATCCTCTGCTTCTCAATCGGGCTCAAACTGATAAGCGATATTAAAGACGCCGTTGTTTACAATACAACAGGAGCACATGCCGCCGAGGTGAGGGGCGGGACGTTTAGACGCGCACTAGAGGCGGTTTAGCCAATCACAACACACTGGGCTGGCTAACCAATCAGATCAATTATCAACTATCAATTATTATGGATAGAGGAATCGTATTATAGCTGGATACTGGAAGTTTAAAGTTAAAAACGTCTTGATGGAATTGTGTCTTATAAACATGCAGTTTTTCTCTTCACAAGTCATTAACTGATGGACTGGAGTGCTGTGGATTACTTGTGGATTATTGTGATGTTTTTATCAGCTGTTTGGACTCTCATTCTGACGGCACCCATTCACTGCAGAGCATCCATTGCTGAGACACTGATGCAATGCTACATTTCTCCAAATCTGATGAAGAAACAAACTCATTTTCATCAATTTTCAGTTTTGGGTGAACCATTCCTTTATTGGCCCGACTTTATCATATTCATTGAGAAAGACTCACTGTAATTATATATAATTACAGATTGTTCCAAAGTGAATCAAACTATGAATGCCATCTAAACTAAAGTCCTGTATGTTTGTGTAAGTGCTGTATTTGTATGGCAAGATATTGACTAAAGGAAGTCTCCATTACCTGCCACAGTAGGAAATCACTAAGACGCACTTCTCCAGACGTACGGATGAGCAGATCGGGGTTAGGAGAATTACTGCTATAGAGACACTCACTGAGGAGCACCTCAGACACATCACTGACACATCACACAGAGAAGAACAATTCATAATAAAACAGCTGTAGTTAGGAGCAAATCCTTTGTTTTCTCACACTATGTGAAAAGCACATAGTTTACCTGGATTTTATCAGGCCCTGCTCTACTCCCCATGCCATTTCCTTCACTGCATTTGCAATTTCATATCTTGAGGTATATGCAAAGCACACATTCAGAAAACACCTACATAATCAAACAGAAAACCGGTCAACAACACAAGAGAAGGATGAACTTAAACAAATGCATCATATATAGATCATGCTCTAAAACAGAAGGAATGTTTTTTTTTTAAATCATAAACTGCACTTCAAACATTTGGGGTCAGTCTTATTGTTTTTTTTTAAAGACATTAATAGTTTTATTCTGTATGGATGCATTAAATTGACCAACAGTGAAGACATTTATAATGTTACAAAAGTTTTCTATTTCAAGTAAATGCTGTTCTTTTGAACTTTCTATTCATCAAAGAATCACCGTACAACTGTTTTCACAATTGATAATAATCAGAAATGTTTCTTGAGCAGCAAATCAGTATATTAGAATGATTTCTGAAGATCATGTGACACTGAAGACTGGAGTAATGATGCTGAAAATTCAGCTTTGCACCCCAGAAATAAATTACATTTTACAATATATTCAAATCTAAAAAATATATTTTAAATTGTAATAATATATCCCATTTTTACTGTTTTTACTGTATATATTCAAATCTAAAAAAGATATTTTAAATTGTAATAATATATCCCATTTTTACTGTATTTTTGATCAAATAAATGCAGCCTTGGTGAGCAGAAGATACTTATTTCAAAAACATTAAAAAAAAAATCTTACAGATCTTAAACTTTTGACCAGAGAATAGAGTGCAAAGTGTACTTGCTTATTGAATAGGGCTAGGCAATATTGCGCAAAATTCTATTAATTTTGAATTTCTATACAAATATAGAAGGTCAAACTAATAAAATAGCATCATGCAGCGCTTACTTGTTGTGTGCTTTAGTTGCCACCACAGATTTGGCAATAAGCTGCTGCAGATCTGCAGGCAGTAGAGTCAGATCTCCCAGCACACGAATACACACACCATGCTTCTCCAGATTCTCCCTACAAATTAGGACAAATTCACATATAGATTGTATAGATATTTAGCCATCAAATAGGTGAACAGATCTTGTGCAGGAGCGACTTACTGCTCTGTCAGCAGGCGGCTGAACTTCTGTCTGGCCAGCTCCATCAGACCATCCACCTCCTCTTTGGAGCGCTTGAAGTTCTCAATGCTGAATGCATATACAGTCACCTCGTGAATGCCCAGGTTTAAGCACCAGCGGAGCGTCTATGTGAGTTTAAACATTGTACATTAAGAGATTGAGCATACATATACGTTGCTCAAAAGTTTGGGGTCAGAAATATTTTTTTGGGGGAAAATATTACTAGTTTTATTCAGCAAGGATGCATTAATTTTATCAAAAGTGTCAGTACAGACATTTATAATGTTACAAAAGATTTCTATTTCAAATAAATGCTGTTCTTTTGAACTTTCTTTTTATCAAAGAATCCTGAAAAATATCATGGTTTCCATTAAAATATTGGGCAGCACAACTGTTTTTAACATTGATAATCAGAAATGTTTCTTGAGCAGCAAATCAGCATATCAGAATGATTTCTGAAGATCATGTGACACTGAAGACTGGAGTAATGATGCTGAAAATTCAGCTTTGCTTCACAGAAATAAATTACATTTTACTTTTTTTTTTAAATTGCAATAATTTTTCACAATATTACTGTTTTTACTGTATTTTTGATCAAATAAATACAGCCTTGGTGAGCAGAAGAGACTACTTTCAAAAACATTAAAAACATTTTACAGACCAGATTGAATAGTAATGCAATAAAATTTAAAGATCAGTGAGAAAACACAAATTACTGATTTTTTAAATTTTATTTTACACAATATTTATTAAAATATTTGAAAACATTTTTTATCCATTGACATAACTGACAGAAAAGGGAACACTTAACACTTCTGTTAATCGGTCAAGCAGTCAAATTGGCAAAATATTGGTCAATTAATCCATCTCAGTCTGTTATTATCTGCATACTCACCTCTGCCAGTTTCTCAAAACCCTGCGAGTGGCCCTCCTGCCTCTCCACATGTGCCTTTTGGGCGAAACGCCTGTTACCATCCATGATAAAGGCCACATGTTTGGGCATAGGCCCTGCCTGAGATATAAAAAGAGTTTAAGAAAGTCATTAGGGTGTTAGGTCATTGTTTCAGTTCAATGTACAGTACAGATCCTCCGAAAAGCACCTTTAGGATGTTGGCAGTGAGCCTTTCTAAAAAGGAGAGTTGCCTCTCTCGAATCCACGACATGACTGGACTTTCTGTGAAGAAAAAAAAACCAGTTACTGTTACGAAATGCATAGTAATGGAAAGGACTTTTGAGAAATGGTTAAAACACATCTTGTACATGAGCATTTGAACCATAAAGAGGCACTTATTTTAATCAATTATTTATTCATTGCAATTTTTGCCTTTGTAGTAATCTAACTATATCTTCAACTATTTATATCATTGAATAGAATTAAATGTGATTGAATATAATTACATTAATGATTAAACGATGTTGATGTCTATAGAGCAGGGTGGTAGACAGCTAATTAAATATGCATATAACAAAATTAAATAAAAGCAGAATTGCTGGATCTAAATGAACACTTACAAATATATACATATTTCCTTCAAAATTTAAATTACCCAGGTAAAATTTAAGTCTATTTCAATATAAGTTGTTAATAATTTTTTTAATAACTGACCGAAACAAAATTTATAATGACAGTTTACATGAAATTGTCTTTATGAGATTAATTATGTATTCAAATATCAAAATGTCCTACTTCTCAATCTCTTTTGACAACACGAACAGGATAATATATTGTAGGCAATTCACAACCGTTTTTTCTAATTAAACCTAAAAACACAGACTACTGTAACCACATCAGTAAATAAACATATTAAATTCATCTGAATGAAATGCATCTGATTATTTTAATAAAGACATATATTAATGAGCGCGCATACTATCCTAAATATCACGACATAACGATGTTAAAATAGAATGTCACTGTAATCACATTCATTAAAAGGAGGCTTTCATTCCAACAAATCGAAATCAGTTTGATTTAAAGCGTTAATACGCTGTTCTTCAAGAAATCATAAAGCTCCAACTCACTGCCTGTCTGTACAATAACGTCTTCTTCCTCTGACAGGAAATGACGACACAGAAACGCGACAGCAAACGCCAAAATAAAATAGTTTTTCGACCAATGCAAAACCTCCCTGAAATTTAAACCATGTTTTAAACTAGTAATATCCTCATGAGAACCAGAAATAAAAAGCTTTGTGAATTTAGTATTTTTTCATGTCATTACATTGTTTAGAGCATAAGAGAAAAATGGTCTCAGGACTTGACAAGAAAAGACGTGAAAAGGCAAAAACAATGGGATTTTTTTTAAAATCACCAATCAATTTTTAGGTTTCAAGATTTTTTTTATACCTAACTTTAAGGATGGTTTTCAACTATGTTATAAAATATATTACAAAATGATCTGATATACAATTTTGCTTCATGCAATATGTGTGTAAAAATTCCATAAACTGGTTTTCCCATCAAGCACAATGTTATCTATACACTGTATCTAATTTGCATATTAAAGTGCTTTTGGGACAGCATGTTGAAAAAAGAAGTGTAATAATGGGAGTAGTAATTGGCCAGATTTTCATAATGATATCTAATATTTCATAAGAATATTGATATAATTTGTTTTCCTATTCAATTCTTTTGTCTCCCAAAATGTATAATAAACATGCTTTTAGTCCTGGTGTCCTCTACAGTAGTAGACATGCATGAAATCGATAATAACAGGAAGTCATATTTTGATTTGAAACTTGATTTGAATGCCCTGAGATGTTGATTTATGACAAACAATTTGAAAATTAATCAGATTTAAATTATAATTACAAAATATTATCATATTTCCATAAGGATGTACAATTTTATCACTAAATTAATGTCAGCCATTTTTAAAAACCAAGGAGAGGGAGTGGCCACGGTGAAACATCCAATCATTTGGTATCTCTGGAAAGCCCTGAATGTGCTCCGTACAGGACATCCAGACCTAAAACTGTGACATGTGAGGTCTCAGAGAAATTCACTCAAATATAATGTCCACTACAGAGGCAAAACCTCCATAGCTGGGTCTCAGGAGGATATGAATAAAAAATACGTTCGGCATTTCTGTTGTTGTTGTTTTTTTAATGCAAAAAAATAAAAAAAACTGTGTAGAAAGCAAAGCACGCCCCTCTTAAAAAATAGAAAAGTCATAAAAACAAAAAAGGGCTAAACATTAAGAAATGTACATTTGTATATGAAAACACGTTTATTTATTTATTAGTTTGTTTGTTTAAAATAATTCTTTAACTTTTAGTAGGGACAATTAGCTTTTTTTGCCAACTGAAAGTCAGTGTAATCATGAAATGACCATAAAATGTTGTCTTAGTGTGTTAACATTTTAGATATTTTAACAATATGTATGGTAACAATTTACTGTAGTTCTTGTATTCTGTTTACAGTTTAATCGTGTGATTTGTTGCAAGACCAAGGTTACAAAAAGGATGGGAAATTAACTTGACTTTTTAAAATTCTAACTATTTATTTATTTATTATAAATAGTGGCTGGTAAATGTTTTTTTTTCTTTTTTTGAAAAGATTTAGATTTTGAACTAAATCTTCCAATAAATAAATAAATGTTATAGGTCTTAATATTTTACTTATTTGTATTGAAGTCCAAATATATGAGCATTACATTTTTAATTGCACAGAATAAACTGTCTAGTTGTTTGTTTTAAGTCTAAAATTTTATTTATAATTACACATATAATAACTATACATTTAATACGTTTGCAAATATTTAAAGTATAAATCATATTCAAGCCAATGCTAATTCTGATATTTCTTATTCAGTGGCTTTCATTGGAGTTGACATTTTACAAGGACGGTTTTTTTGTTAGTGTTTTTTGTTGAGGTTCATCGCACGCAATCCATGTAGTGCACTAAATAAGTTTAGGAATCTGTTTCGCACACCGCTAAACTGAAATAAAAGGGGTCAGCATGTAGTCTAGTATGTAGCGCATAGTACGCAGTATGCTTGTATTTGAATTGGCATTTTCAAGCGCACACTAGAGGGCGAGCACAAAACAGACCAGCTACAGTCAAGAAAGAATCTCAGCAGTGCCGAGGAGGAGGAGAAGAAGAAGAAGAAGAAGAAGGGCTCTCGGTCTGTGGGGGGTGACTGAGGGGTCGAGCGTTTTTGTTCCGCTGGTGGATCCTGCTTAAACGGTGAGCAGGAGGCACAACAACCCAAACCAGAGCAGCCCGACCCGGAAAGAGCCTGGAGGAGCGGGTCGTTACGGATCGGAACTAAGGCGCTTTTGTTTCTCTCTCAACTCCTGCGGGTTTGGGGGCTCCAGCGGCGGCGGCGGAGACGATCCCGCTCGCCCAGGGAAGGAGGCTGGAAGTCGGGGACGCTTCCAGCCTGCAGGGCCGGGCGCCGTGGCGATTGAGCATCCGGAATTTGGTGAACCCTTTGGGGCTCAGTGGATGGGATGGAGCCTGGACCATCTGGCGCTGGTGGGTTCGGATCTTATGTTTCCTAATCTTATTGTTGCTACACATTGTATCATTTCATAATGACACATTGTAACATTCCGTAATGACACATTGTCACATTCTCTAAGGATACATTGTAACATTCCGCAAGCACACATTGTATCATTCCAGAAGAAACATTGTAACCGTCTATTAGAATGTTCACTACTAGGTGATACCTGCAAGTTAATGTAAAGGTGTAGGATCGTTTATATGTGCTTAAGGGGAAAATAATGCAGGGAATCGGGGAGATTGTCCTAGGTCAGGGGTCGTGGGAAGACATGAGCTTGAAGCCCGCCTTCAGCAGATGCAGCAGGGGAAAGTGACCCCCAGGGGTCTTTATTGATCCTGCTAAAGTGTGGCTCAGTCCAATGTTACCAATTTCACTTCCATTAACAGTATAAATGCACGACCAGATAAATGATTTATATTAGGAGGGATAAAAGCTGCCTGGCTGCTGCTGTGGGTTTTGGGAATATGATTTGATTTAATTTTACAAACATTTTTAGTGGATAAATGATTAACTGTTTCAAAGGATGTCTTTAAATGCAGATAAAGAAAATAGTCAATTTGACCTAAAGTTGCATTGGATGTGTAAAGCTGTGTGAAATGGTTAAAAACGATTTCTGATCATGGAAAATAAGAAACCATGTAAAATTCTAGTAAAAAAAAAAAAATCCTGCTCATTGTTTTTGTTTCATTTCACAATTTTTTGATGTTAAAGTGTTTACTTGGAGATCAGACATTCAGATTTAAATCTGAGCTCGACAACATTTACAAATTAACTTTTTTTTTACATTGAATTGTTTGTTTGAGCATCACAACACCGAAACATTGACTCAACCAGTGCTGTGAGTTTGGGGCGGGACTATCTGTTGCTCTGACCAATGGCAGTTGGGCAGGATCGTTTGAGAAGCCTGTTTGAAACGATTATTATTTTTGCAGGCTTTGACTTCTTACAAATGAATGTTTGTCATTGTGATAGCTCTCTTTTAGTCACTTATTGTCAATAGTTTTGGTTGCATATGTATATCAGACACCCTGCTCATGAAAAGCCCACATTGCTAGAGCAAAACGTGTTGATGTAGTTGTTTGTGTGACTCTGAGGGTGGCCTTTATTAATGAGCGGCAGGGGAAGGGTCACAGGGGCTGTGCACTGGCCAGGTGGCGTCTCTGTGGATCATGCACACTTCAGTGCGTTATGCTCTTGAGCCCTCAATAGCAGGACATCTGCCAGCCCAAAATATTGGTTCTGTTCCTCTGTCACAGTTCTGCCCACTTCTGCTTTCAGCAGGGCTGATATATAACAAAATGGATTTTTCAGCCTTTTGATGCCTTCAATATATACTTATGCATTTGTTCTGAAATCGCTTAAAGAGAGGCGAGAAGAATTGGCATTTTGTTAAAAATCAATGTTTCCTCTGCTTGTCAGTAGATATTGAATAATTTGATATTAAATAATAAATCTGTCCACATTTTGTAAATTTTTGCGGTACCACTTTACAATAAGGTCTTATTTGTTAACATTAGTTAATGCATTAACTGACAATGAGCAATATATACAGCATTTATTAACCTTGTTAAATGTTAATATAACATTACGTTGAACATTGTATATGTGATATACAAAATATGTATAAAATGTTTGTTAGTTCACATTGCATTAACGAATGTTAACTGATATAACTTCGATCTTAAAAATGTTACAAGATTAATAAATGCTGTAGAAATATTTTTTATTTTTAGTGCAATGTTGACTAATCTAATGTAGTTCACTTATGTTAACAAATGAAACGTTATTGTAAAGTGCTACAGATTTTTAAATGAATAAATGTGAAATTCCATGTAGAAACTTCCATGAAAATCTTCGAGCATTAATGCAAAAGTCCGAGTTTTGAATTGATTCATTGAAATTAACAGTATGAACTAATGCAAAGAAGTGAATCAAACTCTAACATGGTTTTGCTATTCAAGTCTAACGTCATTTTGTTAAAAATCAATGTTTTCCAGTGCTTCTTAATCGATTGAATCATTTTGTTTTTGAATCATTTTTATCTGTCAAGTTGTGTCAACAGATAATTAAAAAAATATATATATTTATGGCAAAGTTTCCATGCAGAAACTTCCATGAAAATTTGCCCGTTGAATAAGTAGCTAAATCAGAGTTTTGAATTGATTCATTGAAATGAACCGTTTGAACTGATGCAAAGAAATTAATAAAGTTCTAAGTTCTTTTTATATCCCTATCAAAATAATTGCAAATATAATGTAAATGTTGAATTTCTTTGGCATCAGAAGCAGATATAGAGCTGGACTACAGCCTTTAGTAAATGTAGTGGGCAAATCGCACAATATTCCCAATGAAGCAGCAAATATGTTATGTACACATCTATATACAGCTATCTATCTACATGTATGTATATATCTATCAGCCAGCCCTAACAGAGAGCTGCCATTGTTTACTGGTTTCTTGAGAACTGGCTCCATTTCTAGCCATCTGCCGCTGCCTGCATTCGCTCTGCTGTAGGAACATAGAGTTTGCCATTGATCAAGACTTAGCAGAGTATATATCCTACAGAAAAAAAGCGTACGAGAGTTCTCCGAAGCGCCTCTTAAATCACAGGCGAGCTATAAAGCGGGCCGTGTAGGATAAGATTGATGACCTTGTCTCGGCGTAATGTCGAGGTGCTCACTGACACTATACGATGAATAAGGCCAAGGTCCGGCTCTCCCAAAACCCCCACGTATCCCTGGTTTCCTGATCTCCATGACAATGTGTGTTGCTGTGCGGTTGCTATGGAGAGGCTGGGAATGTTTTGGGGCCCCTGTGTTTCTGTGTGCTGATGTGGAGGCGAGGGGGGGCTCCTCTCCTCCGGCTCCCCCTGTTCGGGAAGGAGGGCAGCTGGGGTCTTTGTTATGATGGAGGGAGTGTTCTTCATAGGCAGAGAGGTTAAAGGCGTCAGCGCTTTAGGCTAGTGCTTCGCAAATAGTTTTGGTTCGGGATGCAGATTTTACTTTGGATAACAAAACTGGTTATCAAAATGTTGACGTGTGTAATTTCTGTGCCACCGACGTGTGTCGCAAAATGACTGTTTTCAAACACGTTTCCCAAATATTGCCATTGGTGGAATATTGTTGTGTCAGGTTGGTTGATATACTCAAACAAATCTGTTTTGAAACCATGTCAACCTAAGAGGGATTTACTTATAATTATCTGTCTCTATACTTATGGGATAGAATAAAGTAACATGGAAAAAAAATGACCTATATCAATAAAATTTTTTAAAAAATGAACACGGAAAAGTGTTGAAGTTCCCATTATCTACACAGACCCTACCAGTGTTGTTATTGTAAACTAAAGCTATTAATATAGTTTTGTTTATGAAAGTAAATCTGAAAAAAAAAATTAGATGAAAGAAAAAAAAAACTTAAATGAAAATGAAAAAATAAGTTAAAATACTAAAATTAGTCAAACTAAAACTGAAATAAATATAAACTAAACCTAAATAGAAATATTCAGTTAAAAAAAATAAAAAATAAAAACGAAAATGCACATAACAAAAGTCTATATAGTCTTAGTAATAAATGTCTGTCTCACTCTCTTCGTATCAATTTGGAATAAAATGAAATATTTTAGCATGAAAAAATGACCAACATCAATTTCGAAATCGAACACTGAAATGCATTAAAATGACCATGATGCACAGACCCAACAAGTGTTATTGTAAACTAAAGCTATTAAAATCTTTTTTGTTTATTGAAATAAAGATAAAATATAAATATATGGGGAAAAAATGTTACCTTGGCAACTAACTGAAATGCAGTAATAAGTAAAATGGAGTACTAAAATTACTAAAACTAAAACAGAACATTGTTGTATCATTGAGATATTATAGTTTTTATTAATGTTTTTATTTGAATTAGTTGATGTTTAAGTAAATTTGTTGTGCTTTTGTTATTAGTTTTTGTTTTTTAAATGTCTATTGTTTTTATTAATTTTTACTTCAGTGCTAGTCATTTTAGTACATCTACCTAAACTAAATGAAAATTAGATGATTTAAGCTTTTTTAAATATATTATTTTATTTAAAGTTTATTTTATTTAAAGTAACTAAAAGTTTGTCATGGTTTTAGTTTTAGTTAACTATAATTGAAACTGAAATCAAAATAAATGAGAAAAAAGCAAACAAAACAAAAACGAATAAAAAGCACAAAATAAATATAGTTTTATTTAAAATAGTAATAAATAGTGTAATATTTTAGTATGATTAAATTTCATATTCTAACACTGGGCACAAGAATATTAAAAATTACTAACATGAGAAGGGCTTGAAAGTTCTGCTTTCTAAACGTCTTCATAATGTTTATGATTTCTTGCAGTCAGTGATTCACTGTCTGCGCAAACCATGTTTTGCTTCATTGCTAGTGTATTTTCTTTGACCTGTGTATTTGTAGATGGTTTAGAGGGCGAGGGCCTGTCACACAGCCATTGACATCTGTCTAATTTGACTAGCAAAGTGACAAATAAATTTCCGGCAAAACAAAGTAGAGTTTGATTGGACACATGACCTTTAACATCAACAACAACACATATGGAAGGTGTTTTCTCCTCCATTTTAAACGTTGATAAGTCTGTTTATTTTGTTATCCTAACTGTACATGATTATATGGTTATTTGTATGTTATTGTTTATTATTCAACATCACCGTTGAAGTCAAAGACACATGCAGTGATGTAGGGCTGTCAAAAAAAATTCTAATTTCGAATATTCGTCGAATTTTAAATAAAAATCCACATTCGAATGCAAAAACGTTGCATTCGAATTTTAGGTGTGCGTTAAGGAGGCAGTCTTATCAGCGGCGCATGAGATGCGATGACCCCTTTGTATTAAACTATGCATACATACATGATGCTGTTTTGTTTATAGTTGTTTAAGCAACTTAATTATAATTGGTTTATAAACATTATTTTAAACATTATGCAGTTTTTTTCACAGATAGTCGTTACCTGATGCTTTGAATAAACGTGCATTAGAAATATTTTGCTCGATGCGCCCTCTTGTGGCCTCAGGAGAGAAGTCAAACGCTTTTCTTCACCCTAACTGAAATTATGCATTTTAAATTCGAATATAATTCAAATTTTGATAATATTTAAGTAAAAAAAATTCTAATTTAGTTTTTCACTAATTTTGACAGCCCTACAGTGATGTGAAAATACAGAGCAGGACGTGTCCCAAACAATGCATGACAATGCAGAACTTTGGGGCTTTAAACTAAAGCAGAAGCTTTTTATTAAGAGTTTATGGTTGCCAGTAACAACTTACTACATTAATATAGTATTAATCTGAACTGAAGTTCATTAATGTCACCCAGTCAGAGTTTAGAGTCTGTTTTAAAACATCAGGTTGACTGTTTGGAGGATTCAGACCGATGCCATCATTTATTTGTTTTCAATGATTCAATATTTTGGTTTGAATCCATCAAGTTATAGATCGCATGATTATTGTTTATTTATTTAGTCATTTATCAGACGCTTTTATCCAAAGCGACTTACAAATGAGGACAACAATAAAAGACCTATACAGACATAATAAATTTTAGACATAATTTAACTAAAATTAAAATAAATAACAAATACAAATAATACAAATCAAATTACAGTAGTTTATCAGTAATCCTAAAAAATAACAGTCAAACACACATGCTAAAAAACAACAACTTACTTACACATAGTAAGAAATGGTTATAAAAACTGAAACAGAAGTGAAACAAGTAGTAGGAATATATATATTATATACATGTATTTTTATTCAACTCACACCATAATTATATTATGAAATAAAATCACTCCTGCAAACAGATCGTGGTCATACATAGCATCCATTATATATGCATATGTGACCCTGGAGCACAAAACCAGTCTTAAGTCACTGGGGTATATTTGTAGCAATAGCCAAAATACATTCATGATGAAATGCATGAATGGGTCAGAATTATAGATTTTTCTTCTATGTCAAAAATCATTAGGATATTAAGTAAAGATCATGTTCCATGAAGATATTTTGTAAATTTCCTACCGTAAATATATTAAAACTTAATTTTTGATTAGTAATATGCATTGCTAAGAACTTCATTTAGACAACTTTAAAGGCGATTTTCTCAATATTTAGATTTTTTGCACCCTCAGATTCCAGATTTTCAAATAGTTGTATCTCGGCCAAATATTGTCAAATACAATCCTAACAAACCATACAACAATGGAAAGCTTATTTATTCAGCTTTCAGATGACGTATAAATCTCAATTTCGAAAAATTGACCTTTATGTCTGGTTTTGTGGTCCAGGGTCACTTATGTTTACATTTGCTTTATAGCCTTTAATTTGAAACGCTGTGAAACCTCAAAAATCAATGCAATATTTTAAAACAGACCAAATTCTGATATGATATCAATGCACATTATAATATCACTATACTATATTTAATTAGTTTTTGTATTTGTTTGTTTGTTTATTTATTTATATTTGAAATATATTGTACAAGTCAGCATCTTCCACATCTTGTTTAATGTGGCCAAAACACTAGAAAAGTGTGAAAAGTGTTGGAAATCATTATCAACTGTGCTGCTTGTTCTGATTATTGAATGATGGTCAGAATGGCTGTCGATTGCACACTAGTTTTGAGTTCACTCTTAAGTATACTTTTACCCTGATACTCCTTTCTTTTTCAGTTTTTTGCCTTCCCACCCCCTTCCCGTTTTAGTCGCCATCCTTTTTGTTCCTTTCCCGTGCTTTTGTCCTGTTTCCATACACACTCCTGTCACCATATCTCTAGTCCCATAATCCCCCAAACTCCCCCTGAACTCCTGCTTTCACCGTGTCTCGCTCTTATAACCTCCTATCTGCTTAATGACCTCTCTCTCTCGGTCTGTCTCTCTCTCTCTGTCTGTCTCTCTCTGTCTGTCTGTCTCTCGTCCGCAGTGCCCGCCGGGCCGTACCCCCCACCCCTGCAGCAGGTGTTCCAGGCGCCCCGCAGGCCGGGCATGGGCACCGTCGGCAAACCCATCAAGCTGCTTGCCAACTACTTTGAGGTGGAAATCCCAAAAATGGATGTGTACCACTATGAAGTGGACATCAAACCTGATAAGTGTCCTCGACGGGTCAACAGGTAAATCTCAAATGTCCACAATCATTCCTAGGGCTGTCACCTATTTATATGACACACATATATGTGACCCTGGAGCACAAAAGCAGTCGCTGGGGTATATTTGTAGCAATAGCCAAAAATACATTGTATGGGTCAAAATTAATCGATTTTTCTTTTATGCCAAAAATCATTAGGATATTAAGTAAAGATCATGTTCCATGAAGATATTTTGTAAATTTCCTACTGTAAATATATCAAAACTTAATTTTTGATTAGTAATATGCATTGCTAAGAACTTCATTTGGACAACTTTAAAGGCGATTTTCTCAATATTTCGATTTTATTTGCTCCCTAAGATTCCAGATTTTAAAATATTTGTATCTCTGCCAAATATTGTCCTATCCTAACAAACATATATCAATGGAAAGCTTATTTATTCAGCTTTCGGATGATGTATAAATCTTAATTACGAAAAATTGACACTTAAGACTGGTTTTGTGGTCCAGGGTCACATATATATATATATATATATATACTAATAAATGTTTAAAATGAATTGTCATACAAATTAATTTTCACGTAAAGTCATTTTTCCACATTGAATTTGGAATCAGAGGTAGAATCACATGTAAAATGATTTTTTTTGTTCCACTTTAGTCTAAAGACTTAGTTATAATAGTCTGTCTCTTCTTATCAGATTGGGATAGAATAAAGTTTTTGTTTATTGAAATAAAGCTGAAATAAAATATAAATAATGGATAAAAACTCAAATTAAAATTAGAAATGTTAAGTGAAATAAACATGTTTAAGTACTAAACCTAAAATTCTAACTGAAATAAATATAAATATAAAAATAAGATATACAAACAAATAAGCTAAATAAAAATATTTTAAAAGTTACAAAAGCACGTTAAAAAACTACTAAAACTGAAACATTTTAAAATATGAAAATATAAAAATAAAAGCTAATTCATTTCCCCCACATTGCATTTGGAATCAGAGGTAGAATTACATAAAATAATATTTATTTTGTATTCTGTTATAATTGTCTGACTGTCTTTTTTTGTTTTTGTGAAAAATAAATATTAGATTGAAAAATGTATATTTAAAAAACACAAAAATTAGAAATAATACTTTAGTAACTAACTGAAATAAAAAGAATAATTTGAAGTACTAAAATTACTAAAACTGAAAATAATATAAATTAAAGCTAAATGACTCAAATTAAAATGAAAACTAAAAATATAAAACTAAAAGTGTATTCATTTTATCACGCTGATTTTGGAATCTGAGGTAGATTGGCATGAAAAATATTATGTTTGTTCCACTTTAGTCTTAGTCCACTTTGCATTCACACTGTCAACAATACAAGATGTTAATATTGAATAACTTGAAATTCAGACTAATATTTTTTTTCTTAGCCATCAAAATATTTCAAGATGACAAAGCGTCAGGTTTAGCTTTTGATTATGTAATAATCTTGACAGGCTTAGTCTTTCCTCAGTATGAATTGAGATAAAGTTTACCCTATCATTAGCTATTTCTCTAAAATCATTGGGGTCAGTAGAATCAAAGCCTGCAGATTTGCATGGCTTGGTGACAAAGGCCAAAATTTTTCAGTTACCTCAATTACATAAAGCGTGACCTAGAAAGGAACCTCCTCATGCTGTTCTTCCCTGAAAAGGTTTTTAGAATGAAATGTTCCTGTAGACGTGCACAGGCAACGCTTGAATCCTGTTCATCCCGTAACTGTATTTTCAGTTCAACTAAGTTGTCTGCCTTCTGAGTTAAATACAACTTAAGCCTGGTTTATTCTCGATGCGTCTGCACAAGCGTGAGGATGAGTGTGAAAGTGACATCATTGTGCCATCACCACTGCATGGGCGCGTCTGAGCCAAATTCTGTGCACCACAATCCCATCAGACCCTTAAATATCAAACACTTTCTGAGGCAGAAAAGGATGCTAGTAATGTAAAAAGCACAGTTTTTTAACTACACAGCGAAGTTATCTGTTACAGCTCATCAGTTGTTCATTGTAATGTATTGCATTATATGTTTCGATCATCAAACTAAGCATTTAAATATCATCTTACTAAGACATATTATTGGAGATAAAGAGTGACGACTGATATTTATATAATTTTATGTAAGTATCTGCTATACTGTTTTTTTTGTAAGCATCAGAATTTCATCACGTTTTGTTCATGTAAATATCAGCATCTGCAACAAATTGCAAATATTTACTCAGTTTGGGCCTCTGAATAAAATGGACTATTTTTTTCCTCCACAATCACACTATATCAGATTATATGAGCCTGATGTGTGTGTGAAATATGATGCTCAACAACAAACATGCATGCAAACTTTGTTTTAGATTTTGTCTGAAGATTCAATACATTAAGATTTTTCAAGATTTTTTTTTATATGTCAGGTTTTACAGGGTTAAGCATTGTGAAAATCTTGTTTATATTATGTGATATCATTTGGCTATTAAATTTCCTACACGTTCCTGTCATTAAGGTACCATTTCAGTTAGTTTTGATTCATTTTTGTGAATCAGTTCAAACTATCTGTTTCAGTGATTCAGTTCTAAAACTCAGATTTAATAATTCGTTTCAGAGCAACTTGATTTTTGTTCTATAATTTCCATCCCTAGCCTTGATTGTAATTTATGTAATGTAATTAATGCAGTTTCATGCTGTTCTCATTCTGGGCCTCTCGTCTGATGTTGTAGGTTGATTTCGAGGTGACCATCCCCGGCGAGGGGAAGGATCGCATCTTTAAAGTGTCCATTAACTGGCTGGCCAAGGTGTCGTGGCGGCTGCTGCAGGAGACGCTGGTCAGCGGACGTCTGCAGGTCCCGCTGGACTCTGTCCAAGCCCTCGATGTGGCCATGAGACACCTGGCCTCTATGAGGTACGCTGCTCACAGACTGACAGGTCACAAACAAACATTAGGGATTTATCAATTCACTCGTTTTCTCAGTGCCATCGATTCTGCCGATGCATACCGTTTGTGTCAATCTTGAATTGTAGTATGTAATGTAAAGTATGTAATTTTTGTGTAATTTTAGTATAGTTGAGATAAATGAATATTTAGAATGAATAATTTTTATATTTTACAATTTTTATATTTTAATTTTAAAGCTGTTTTTATTATTATTATTATTATTATTATTATTATTATTATTATTATTGGCACATTGCACTCTTTGTTATGTTCCAAGTAGCCTGTATTTAAAGTAGCACTGTCAAACGATTAATCGTGATTAATCGCATCCAAAATAAAAGTTTTTGTTTACATTATATATGTATGTGTACTGTGTATATTTACTATGTGTATATATAAATACACACACAGAATATATTTAGAAAATATTTACGTTAATACATTTATATATTCATATTTTTATATTATATATAAATATATTTAATATATAAAC